GTCCCAGTTTCTTTTCCATCACTGTTTGTTTCCTGTGCATTTGCCTTCATTTCACTTAGTTTAGCCTTCATTTGTTCATCTAATTTGTGACTAAAATCAACTAGTTCTGTGAGCATACTGATCATCAGTGTTTTGAACTGTGCATCTGATAGGTTGGCTATCTCTTGGTTACTTAGAAGTATTGACTCTGGGGCTTTGAGCTGTTCTTCTTCTTGAGCCATGATGTTTTGGTCTGTTCACACCTATTATGTATAAGGGTGGAGCCTTAGGTGTTCCCCAGGGCTGGGCAACCCAGGTTGCTGGGTTGTGATGCTGTGTGTGGGGGTGGGGTCAGAGAGGGGCAGTGGCATTTGTTCTGCTCTCTCTCAGATTTTGGTCCCCTCTGCTGCTTCCCGCAAGCAAATTGGGCCCTTCTGGTGCTGGTTCCTGGGTGGGTGGGTTTGTGTACGTTCTAGGACCCTGTGGGTCTCTCCAATGAACTCTCTGTAAGCTTGGGAGCCTCTCCTGGCACCTCAACCCCCGGAAGTTTTTCCAGTTGGTGCTGTTAGGCTTTAATTCCTGTCACTGGGGCCCTGTGTTGCAGAGTCTGTCTCACTATTTGTTTTTTTTTTTGCCTGGTTTATCAATGTGTGAATGTGTGATTGCAATCAGCCAGCTCCCTTGTGCCCTCACTGGGTCTGCCCATTGCCTCCCCATGCCTAAGATCTGCCAACCACCACCTGTGTGCCTGGGTCGGTCGATAGCCACCGCTTTTTCCTGCCACAGTGCCTCTCAGCAGGCCACCAACCACACCCCTCTTATTGGTCTGGATGAATGGTTCGTTGTTGTCAGACTTCGTTCCAGTTCAATTTTCTGTATGTTTTGGTTATGTTTTTGCTTCTAAATATTTGTTTTCCTTAAATTTGGTTGTGCAAGGAGGTACAGTGTTTCCACCTTTGCCTCCATCTCAGCCAGAAGTACTATTTTTCTTCTCTAGAATTTTGATTTGGAATTTTTCCAATATCTCCACTTAAAATTCATCCACTTTTTGAACATACATGATATAACTTTTAAGGTTTTGTATGCTAATAAAATTAAATAATTATTTTACTTAATCTGATGTAGTTTTAAAGTAACTATATTATTACTAGCAATATTATTACTGAAAAGTTTATTATTTTTAGCATTTTTTTAAATTAAAATATATATCTCTAGGAACATACAACCGAATCACTGTTTTAAAGTCAAGTGAAGTAATTCTCCACTTTGTACTTAAGTTGCTAACTTGATACTTGGTTAGATTAATTTCTTTCATTTTGCTTAATTTTTAGAGATATTTTTCTACTTTAATTATGTATTATTATTTTGTAATACAGTTACATGTTTCTATAGTAAAATGATACAATAATACATTCAAAGTTTTGTTAGAAACTTTGCCCCAAAATGTACAATCATACCTCGGTACTCATCAGCTTCAGAACTAGTCAAACCTTGTACTTGTCTCACTTTGATGAGAAAAAAAATGTTTCTTCACTTGGCGCTTGCTCAGGATTCATCACACTTGCTAGAACTTGTATGAGTCATGATGCTGCCCCACAAGATAAAATAAAATGCTTCATTGTTTGGCACTTGTCATTTGGGCACAGGTCACGAGTTGTGGGATGAATTAACAAGTACTGAGGTACCACTGTAAATATTTGTTTTAGTTCTTGACTTATGCTTTCAGTGTTTGTTTTTGAAATTGTAGCAAAATATACATAAAATTTGCCCTGACTGGTGTGGCTCAGTGGATTGAGCTCCAGCCTGCCAACCAAAGGGTTTCTGGTTCTATTCCCAGTGAGGGCACATACCTGGGTTGCGGGCCAGGTCTCCAGTAGGGAACGTGTAAAAAACAACCACACATTGATGTTTCTCTCCCTCTCTTTCTCCCTTTCCTTCTGTCTAAAAATAAATAAAATCTTTTTTAAAAAATGTATCAATTTAACATTTTTTAAGTGTATAGTTCAGAATCATTAAGTACACTTGCATTGTTTTGCAACAATCATCACTATCTCTAGAACTTTTTCATCATTCCAAACTGAATCTATTAAACAGTAACATCTCATTGTCTCCTTACCCCCAGTCCCTGGTAACCACTATTCTTTCTTTCTTCTTTTTTTTTTTATTTTTTAAAAAATAATTTTATTTAGTTATTTTTCAAGTACAGTTTTTTGTCTATTTCTCCCATCCCAGCCCCCCCACCCAGTGCTCCCCACCTCCCTCCCATTTCCACCCCCCTTAGTTCTCATCCTTGTGTCCTTCATATTTGTTCCTTCAAATCCCTCCCCTTTTCCCCCTTAAATTCCCTTCCCTCTCCCTTGTGGTCACTGTCCCCTTGACTACTATTCTTTCTGTGTCAATGAGTTTGATTATTCTAGGTACCTCATATAAGTAGAATCAGGCAGCACTGGTTCTTTTGTTTGGCCTATTTCACCTAGCTTAATGTTTTCAAAGTTAATCCACGTGTCAGAATTTTAATTATTTATTCATTTACTTTTTAAATTAACTTAGAGAAAGAGAGGTGAGGAGGGGAGGGAGGGAGAAAGAGAGAGAGAGAGAGAGCGAGAGAGAGATGAATGTGAGAAACATCTATCAGGGACCAAACTCACAATCTAGTAGGATGTGCCCTGACTGGAATCAAACCCATGACTTTTTGCTCTGGGGGACAATGCCAACCCAGTCACATCAGTCAGGGAAGAATTTAATTTTTTTAAGGCTAAATAACATTCCGTTGTATGTATATACCACATTGTGTTTATTCATTCATTCATTAATAGACATTAGAGTTGCTTTCACTTTTTGGCTATTGTGAATAATGCTGATAGGAGCATAGATATACAAATACCTGTCCAACTCCATGCTTTCGATTGCTGGATCATATGGTAATTCTGTATTTAATATTTTTAAGTAGCTACCATACTGTTTTTCCCTGTTTAACACAAAATATTATGAGCTCATCGATTTTACATATTTGGTTCAATCTTTTGCACTCACTATGGTTTTCAATGCTCACATTGTACCATCAATAAGAGCCCCTTCAACCTGACTCCTGTTATTACTTTAGTTTTTTATATCTTTCTTGCTTTCTGGAATGAGAAATTGAGGCTAAACTTATATATTTCCTGCTTCAAGCTTGGAACCAATCCCTTCTCTAAAACATTCCAGTTTCTTTTAGTGGAAAATGGTACTTAGAGACTACCACCTAAATGCTAGGGATACTCATTGCTACAGTGGTCCTAGGCCTTGGCAGTGGAGAAAGCTATACAATGTGTCTTAAAAATTAGGATCATTGAGCTTTTTTCCCCTTTGATTTTATACTTGTATCTCTTTTATCCCACATTTTACTCATTGAACCAATAATCATTGTATAGGTACCATATCCCTTATACTTTGCTAGTTTCTGGGAATGTACATTAAAAACTTACACTTGATCTAGTTTCCATTGCTTTTTATCTGAATGAGGACTTTTATTTTTTGTTCATCAGATCTATTTGCATTGGCTTCTAGTTAAGACTGCTGTGAGTATAAGATTGGCTTTTAGTTAATCTCGGCTTATTTTTTATTTTACATTCAATCATTGCACTAGTCATTCAAACAAGATGAGTTGAGAAATGCTTGTTAGATTATTGTGTAGATGTGTGTGAACACCACAGAATGTACTTACACAAAACTAGATGGTACAGTCTACCACACAACTAAGCTATGTTGCTCACGGACTACAAGCCACGTTACTCTACAAAACAACCAAGATTAAATCAAGCACAACAGAAAATTAGTCAATCAAGAGAGGCAGTAAAAATGTGTGAAGCTGCTGCTGGTGTAACACAACATACTGTTTTACAACAACTTTCTTTTTAAAGTAAAGTGTATACTCTAAAGTAATGATAGAAACTATAGTAAATACATAAACCAGTAGCATGGTTATTATCAAGTATTATGTACTGTGCTATACTTTTATATCATTGGCAGCAAAATGGTTTACTCCAGCATCACTACAAACATGTACTGTGGTATACTAGGATGTTACAATGGCTACATCACTGGGTGACAGGAATTTTTCACCTTCATTATATTATGGAGCCAGTCTTATATGCAGTCTGTCCCTCAATAAAATGTTATGTGGAACATGACTGTATTTCCCTTATGTTAAACTCAAGATTTTAGTAACAATACTATTCACCCCTTGGGTGGTAGTGTCAAAGATAAAGATAAATAGGTAATTGATACTAAAAAAAAATCACCACTTGATATTTTACCAGAAAAAGGTAACTTGAAAGCGCAAGACAATTTGTTATCCTTGGATTCTTAGTTTTTTGGTCAGTTGGACGAGCAGGTGAACTCTATCGTTGAAGAAACCATTTGGCTCAAACTCTCTCTTGCTGTGTTGGTGCCGATGCCTGCAATTCCACTATTAGAGTTTTTTTTGTTGATGTGATTGGCCCACATTGAAGTAATAATGTCTTTGGAGAGTTAAAATCCACATATACAACTAACATATTAGAATGAATAAATTTGTCAGGATTTTCCCTTGTCACATTCAGCTGAAAATATGTTTGGAAAGAACAAGATCTAGTACAGGGGACAACTGCGTGGAGACTTGTTTTAAGAAGCCCTGACAGAGGAAGCACGATGACCCTAAACACATGCTGAGATGAGGGAGTATGAAAATAAGCTTTTAAGACTTGACTATGCATTCGGAATACTCAGCAGCCAATCAGACCATTGGCTGTTTATTAGCAAATTATCAATTCTAAAGACTACTAGTACTTTAAGTAACTATTATAATGGAGTCAAAACTTAATAGCATGGATGTTATCTAATAATATTTAGATATACATTTTATAAGTTTCATAATGTACTGAGATATTTTAAGTTACTTCATATATGTATATATCACAGTAAATAGTTATCCTTTCTACTCAATGTACTAAATACATAAAAATTTAGAGACACCCAAAGAGAAAACACAAATAAGTCTGAACTCATTTAAGACAGGGAATACTTTATTCAAACCCATCAGAGAAATGAACTGGTTGGGTCTGTAACAAAGTCATGTTTTAAAGCACAGGCCAGTAATTGTATACGAGTATACACTGCTACATACAAATTAACTGATCAGACCACAACTTTTCAATATTTAAAACAGAATAAGCTTCCCTGTAAAAGCAGCACCGTTGTGACATTTTAACTTTAGTATTCCTCTCCTTCTTCCTCACCCTCTCCTTCAACAGAATCCACACCAACCTCCTCATAATCCTTCTCTAGGGCAGCCATGTCCTCACGGGCCTCAGAAAACTCTCCTTCCTCCATGCCCTCACCCACATACCAGTGGACAAAGGCACGCTTGGCGTACATCAGGTCAAACTTGTGGTCCAGGCGAGCCCAGGCCTCAGCAATAGCTGTGGTGTTGCTCAGCATGCACACAGCTCGCTGTACTTTGGCCAGGTCTCCACCAGGCACCACAGTGGGAGGCTGGTAATTAATGCCAACTTTGAAGCCAGTAGGGCACCAGTCCACAAACTGGATGGTACGCTTGGTCTTGATGGTGGCAATGGCAGCATTGACATCTTTGGGAACCACGTCACCACGGTACAGCAGGCAGCAAGCCATGTATTTACCATGGCGAGGGTCACATTTCACCATCTGGTTTGCTGGCTCAAAGCACGCATTGGTGATCTCTGCTACAGAAAGCTGTTCATGGTAGGCTTTCTCAGCAGAGATGACAGGGGCATATGTGGCCAGAGGGAAGTGGATGCGGGGATAGGGCACCAGGTTGGTCTGGAATTCAGTCAGATCCACATTCAGGGCTCCATCAAACCTGAGGGAAGCAGTGATGGAGGATACAATCTGACCTATCAACCTGTTCAGGTTAGTGTAGGTTGGGCGCTCGATATCGAGGTTTCTACGACAGATGTCATAGATGGCCTCATTGTCAACCATGAAGGCACAATCAGAGTGCTCCAGGGTGGTGTGGGTGGTGAGGATGGAGTTGTAGGGCTCCACTACAGCTGTGGAAACCTGGGGGGCTGGGTAAATGGAGAACTCCAGCTTGGACTTCTTGCCATAATCGACAGACAGACGCTCCATCAGCAGGGAGGTGAACCCAGAACCAGTTCCCCCTCCAAAGCTGTGGAAAACCAAGAAGCCCTGAAGACCTGTGCACTGGTCAGCCTGTAGGGAAAGGAAAGAGAAAATGTAATTCTCTAATGCCAGGATACATTTTCTTATGCAGAATTTCTTTTTCTTTAAATTGTGAACATGAGAGATTGATATAAGCATGAAGAGTGACAAAATAGTCCCATAACTTGGGGACTCCAATTAATACAGCAAGCAGAGTATCCCACATTTCAAACGCACCAAAGAATGAATGCTATAGTTTGGTCTTTCACTTAATTTGCAACGGAACCCCCTCAACCCATTTAAATATTTACTTGTTGATGATTTTATTCATTATCTTAACTCATGTATATTTTGGCATCTTTTTAAGAATTGAATTTACTGGGGTGACGTTGGTTCATTTAAATATATAGACTCAAATGTAGTATTTACCAGTTTCCGAATTCGGTCCAGGACGAGGTCAATGATCTCCTTGCCAATGGTGTAGTGTCCACGGGCATAGTTATTGGCAGCATCTTCCTTGCCTGTGATCAGCTGCTCAGGGTGGAAGAGCTGGCGGTAGGTACCAGTGCGAACTTCATCTGGAGGGGGGAAACAAAGTGGCCACCCATCACTAACAACCCCCCACAAGCCCGCTCAAGCCCAGGGCACCCACACAGGCCCCAGGACACACCTCCTGTCCCAGACCCCTGGGATCTCACTTGGGTTACTGAGGGCAACTCACCAATGACTGTGGGTTCCAGGTCTACAAACACTGCCCTGGGCACATGCTTGCCAGCGCCTGTCTCACTGAAGAAGGTGTTGAAGGAGTCATCTCCCCCCCCAATGGTCTTGTCACTTGGCATCTGGCCATCGGGCTGGATGCCATGTTCCAGGCAGTAGAGCTCCCAGCAGGCATTGCCGATCTGGACACCAGCCTGCCCAACGTGGATGGAGATGCACTCACGCTGTTGGAAGGAAATGAGAAAATTCATAAAATTAGGTTGTGTTAGCATTTTGAATTTTGGGTAGTTATCTAAAAATATTTTTAGTAATATACAGATATTCTTCAAATTTAACTGAGGTCATATCCCTAACATGACAGAAATGATTAAGGAATAGCACCTGCTACAAAGGCTGCAGTGGGGTGTGGCCTGAATACGCTGCACTGTTCAGCATATGGTCCAAGCCCATTGTCACAGGCATTGTTGAATAGGCTTTTCATATTTAAAAATATTCAAAGCAGAAATTTTATTAAGTTAAATTCAATAATTAATTAATTGCAATCCTTCCCCTTTAAATAAAGATGAGTTTCTTCTAAATACGATTTGGCATTTCAACATGGACATCTGTACTGCAGCTGAGGCCAGAAGCCACACCCTTCTGCAGTCTATCTGCAGAATCCATCTGTATTTAGGGAGTTGGAAGCTCAGCAAGGACTAACTCCTGCACTGGTGCATTTGCTGTGCCTGGTGCTAGCCTGTACTGTCTGCTACATTATTTAACAGAGCAAGCTCTATTTCCAGAAACTGCCTACATGATCTCATTGTGCCATTCTGCCAGTTCTCCTCCTCTGAGCCAGGCTGGGACCTTATGCCTAAATTGAAATGAATTAATGAAGATGCATGAGAACAAAAGACATCTGGACACAGTATAATTCTTCTTTGTCTGCAGCAATTTCTTTTTTTTTCTCAAGAATTTTTTTCACTGTAAAAAAAACTGGAAAAATTGTGAGTATCTTTAAAACAACAGTTCCTAAATTAGAAACAAATATCACGAGACAAAGAATAAAAGCCCAGTGAAAGGATAACGAAATATTTATTTAAAACAACAAAATACTTATTTTCATTCTGAGATTTTTCTACCCACCACAGAATGTTCATACTCATCACATTCAGTACATATTTTCTCCTCTATGATCTTTATGGCTACAATTTCTATTGTCTACCATTGTCTCTTCATTGACATATGGGGGGTGGGGAGGGAAGGGCGTTTCCCTGGGTCCTGAACATTGATTGGGGTACTCTGGCTCACACAGTGGTCTTTTCTCCCTCTCGGCACATGCTACAGAGACAGACACATTCAGTTGAGTCGGTCACGTCAGCATAGCCCCTGGCAAGACTTTAAAGCTTTTGTCAAGTGAATTGTGATTTTGCTCCCCCAGAAAATATATTTTGTCTACGTTTTAGAGTGAATGAAAAACCTTTTAACGCCTACAGTTCCGCAATTATGAGACTTATTAAGTCTTCTGACAGAAGAGGTTTAGCAAGAGCGAACCCCTCCCAGTGGCTCCAAGGCCAGGGAAGCCAGAAACAAACAACTCCGCCCCAGCGCCGCCCTGACGCCAGCTACCACGGCCTCCAACAGAAACTAACCACTTTTCCCCGTTAATATACAGTGTCTTTCTAAAATGCCAAAGAAGCAGCGAGGAAAACTTTTTTTCTTTCCCCTGGTAACCCAAGGCGTCGCTTTGTCCCAGTCTTTTTCAATCCCCACTCCTCCCAGCTTTACCCACCGACCCCTTGTCTTTTGGGGCGACTCCTCTTCTTGTTTGGGGAAACACTGGAGGAGGAAGAGGGCCTCTCTGAGCCACACGAACACGGTATGCGCATACACGAGGGCTAAGCAGGAGAAGCCACGACGGCTTTTCCCTGCTCCAGACCCTTTCAACAACAACTGATGGATTGCTTGCAGCTCGGAAAGGCTCGGGTAACAAAAAGCCCTTCCGCGCCGCCTTTGTTCTTCCCCACAGTTCTGTCGCGCCCTGGGCGCAGTTCTTGCTGGGCTCCCGCACCCCCGCACTGCGGCGGCGGCCAGCTCAGGGATTTGGGACAGTCGACGCTTAATCTCGCTAACAAAGCGTAAGGCTGGCTACCTTCACCAAATAAATTGTAAAGGGACAAGGGTTTCAGGTTCTTCAAGCAGACCCCGGGAGACTGACCACACCCAAAGGTCGCAAAGAGCCAGAGAAAACAAATTCTTACCATGGTTGCTGCTTTGCGGCTGCCGAGCGGATGGCGGAGAGGAAGAAAAGTTGTTGCTTCTTACAGCGCGACTCTTAGGCGGTCGATGTAAGAGAACCTGCGGCATATGGGCGGATGCAACTCCCTATATACAACTCAGTCTCCATGGGGATGGGCTGGGGCTTTTTCCTGTTGGTCCAGACCCCTCAATCTGCCCAGAGAAGCCACAACAGGAGAGTTGTGATTGGTGCAAACGACATGGGATGAGGTAATCTTTCCCCCACCCCCTTTTCCCTAGCATCCATAGACTGTTTGCATCCTTCAGACAAAGAGACCGAGAAAAAACAGTCAGCCGAGCATCCATGATGGGGTGGAGCTGGGGAGGGTGTGCAAAAGGAAGGAAAGAGAACTGGGGTTGGATGAGCGTATGTTGCTTAAACCTCGAACTACAGTTAAAACCACCAATGTAAGGTTTTTCCAAAGCTTAATAGCAGAATTGTATAGAGATGAAATATTTAATGGAAAATTACTCCCAGTTCCTCCATCACAGTATACTAAACTCGACCACATGCGGTGAGGATTCAACATCTCTACTGTAATTGCTTAAAAAAAAAAAAAAAAAGTAGGAGAGACGATGGGAGTGATGCTTAACATGGCTTGGGTAAATGTGCCTTTAAAAAGATTTTTTTAAAGGTTCAATAACAGAGCCATCCAAAATGGTTTCTCAGGTTCGAGTAACTTATTTTCAGATCTTCTTTTGCAGCCTTCCTCCAAATAGCTAATCAAAAATGAAAAATGGAAAGAGTAACCATCTAAATCTCGGAAATTTGTGTGCTATGGAAGCACACAAATAGTTCAAACGTGGCAATTAAGATACAATGAACATACTGTAGTTAGTTTACAAGAAATATTCCTTTGCCAGAAGTCTATGCAATATATTTTATGTAGTGTATTGTTCCTTACAATGAATTATCTTTCTTGATAAAGAACTGAAAAAATGCAAGGACAAAGAATTGCGTTCAGAAGCTAATACAACCTGTGCATGCAGTTATATTCTGCATTGTTCTGATTTCTGGAATAAAGAAAAATAACTGAGATACCATATAAAAAAGGAGAGCTGTGTAGCATAAAAAGAATCATTTTGTAATGTTGCCTCCATCCAGAGACAACTGTGTGAGGTTAGCTCAATAACAGCATTTCTTTTTTATGTATCTCATGTGAATTTGGTATATTTGTGAGAGGCAACTGTGGGAATTGTAGCCAGTCTCACACCATTGCTATTCAACTAGAGACTGGTGGTTGCTCAATTGCCTTTTGAGACAAAAAGGGTTTGCTTTCACTCCCTAGGAAATGGATTGCGGTAACATTTTTTGTTGTTGTTGCTGCTTAGAAAGGCTCTATTATCAACAAAGATAAGCTATGGAGAATAAGACTCTCTGGACTGGGTACTTCCTGACACTACTAATGAAATTTCAGAGATAAAGAGGTTTGTAATGGCCACAAAGTTGAAATTTTGTATTTCCCCTTCAATTTTCAGTGACTTATTTTAAGAGTTTGCAGCACGGTTTACAGTGCTCTGCAGAGCCCATTCACACAGCCCATTCATTCGTGCTGGGCTAGCAGGCAAAGCAGGACATGGGAGGGAGGGAGGGAATTGAGACAGTTGCTACAGGTTGTGGTGTTAACAACAGTGGCCCTTGGCCATGGAATTTATTAGCCTGTTCTGCATAGCTCTGCTTTACTTATTGAAATTTGCTTCAGTAGTCTTCCCTAGGGGTGAAAAACCCAACATACAAATTATTTTATTTACTTCTTGCATTTTTCCTAGAAAAAATAATCTTCAACATTATCTTATCTTTCTTTAGTAAATAAAAGTATGTTTCAGTAAAGAGACAGGAAAATTAAGGACAATTTAAATGCTTCTTTCTAAACTCAAGTACTTGTAACAAAAATAAGACTTAAATGCATAGGGAAGTATAAGGATTAATTAAGTAGCTCATTGAAAGTACTTCTTTCAAAGTTTTAATAATGAAATAAATTAGACACTACTGGACCATGGTAAAGTGTACAGATCTTTTGCGAATGAGAGGCACAGTCTTGAATTTTATTTTCTTTCTAATGTAAAAGAAATATGTCCAATAGTCTCAATTCTTTATGCAATTTACACTGAGGATTAAATTTTTAAAAAGAGGAGGGTTCATGCAATTGATTCTTTGTAACTCTATCTCAGAGCCATTCTGTTCCTTATGTAAATGAGGATTTTTTTTCTTCCCTTGGGCATAAGTAACAATAAGATCTAGGTCAGAAATAGACTATTTGAGCACTGATAATCTTAAATATATAAATGGGAGATTAGGGGAAATAACTAATCTATTTTGTTCCTCATCTTATTTAGTAGCATTCAAACTATGAGAGACAAAAATTTTTTTTTCTAGTTTACGTACTTATTTTTACTGCCAATTTTTTTTAGCTTACATCAACTGTTTCACTAATGGATTCATTCTTGTCTGCAGTATGATTAGCATAAAAAAGATTAGCATAAAACATTTTTCTCCTTTCATAATATTGTGGAATTTAAATTATTTATTTGTATGTTTTTACCTCTCCATTAAAATGCGAATCTTTGTCCCTGGCAAAATGCCTAAGCATATACTAGACATACATTGATACATGTTTGTTGAATTAAGTGAATAGGTTATCTTGGTGCATATTTTCATTAACTACTATCATGGTTACTAATTTAAAGGTAGTTAATAAAGTATTTAACTTTTTTTCATAGACTAAGCATTTACTGAGTGTCTATAGTAAACCCCGGACCATTCTAAATACTGTGAGAATCAGAGGTAGTAGCATGGTCTCCTTTCACCAGGATCTTCCAATCTAATTAAAGAATAAAACTAGAGACTGGTACCTGTATATAGACTTGAGAATGGTATGTGTTGTGTATGTATGGAGAGAAGCCTTATAGACTCCATCGCATGACTCCATGTATCATAACTTAGGAAATAAGAATTATCCAATACATTTTTCCTACTTCTTTACTTCCTACTTATCCCTAAATTTATTCTAATCTGGATTCTGCTCCTACCATTCCTTAAAACTAAATTTCCTCCATGTTAGTTGTTAAATCCACATGATACTTTTTTAGTTCTTGTTGACTTATAAAAGTCTTGTTATAGTTGACTGTTACCTCTTTTTTGAGATGCTTTCTTCCCATGGCCTTAAAAATGCTACATTTTCTAGGTTTCCCTCCTACATTTTTTTCTCAGTCTATGCTGGTGTTTCCACCTCTCCTGATCTTTAAATGTTGATGTTTCTCAAGGTTCAATCCTAGAACTTTTCTTCATTTTATTATATGTGATCTCAACCACTTCAGTGGATGATAAGTGCATTCATCTTCAAGGCTGAAGATCCTTTCTATATGCTAATGATGTCTTAACATCTCTTCTTAGATCCAGATCATATAGTAAGCTTTGAGGATGAGAAATCTTGCTGGATTTCTCAAAGGTATCCCAAATTGAACTAGTAATCTTCACACAAGCATGTGCTTCCTACAAGTTTTTTTTTGCTCAGTAAATGAAGCAACTTGGCTTCTCCCATCAGAAATGAGAATTACTTTTAACATCTGACCTTTCTTTTCTCACTACCATAGAGTCAGTCACTAAATCCTGTTAAATCTACCTCCTAAATATTTCTCAAATCTTATCCTTTTCTTTCCATCTCTACTGCCTCAACTCAGTACATCATGTCTAGTCTGGACAACCTCAGTGCCCTCCTATATTTCCTCTCTATTCACTCCTACCCCTGCCCAGTCCAGTCTCCACACTCGGCCAGTGATCTTATTATAATACATATCACATATCATGTCACATGATACATTTCATGTCACTCCACTGTGTAAATCAGATCAATGCCTGTTTGTTTTAAGATAAAGACACCAGAGTTCTGGCCAAGATGGAGGCATAGGGAGATACACTTTGCTTCCTCCCACAACCAAAAGGACAATAACAAGTTTAAAAACAAAAAAACAGCCAGAACTGTGAGAAAATTGAACTGTGTGGAAGTCTGACAACCAAGGAGTTAGAGAAGAAACATTTATCCAGACTAGTAGGAGGGACAGAGACAGGCAGCCAGGGTGGAGAGGACGTGAGGCAAGGCAGCGGACTGGGTGGGTGAGGCGGAAGACCAGGTGGTCACACACTGACAGGCAGATAAGCCAGGAGGAAAAACAGGGGAGCAAGACAGACCACGAAACCCAGGGTTCCAGCATCAGGAACGTAAAGCCTCAAAACCTCTGGCTGTAAAATTCTGTGGTGGTTGCAGTGGTGGGAGAAACTCCCAATCTCACAGGAGAGCTCATTGGAGAAACCCACAGGGTCCTAGAATGTACACAAACCCACCCACCCAGGAATCAGCACTGGAAGGGACCAATTTGCTTGTGAGTGGCAGGGGAAGTGACTGAAAGCCGGTGAGAGCCAAGCAAGCAACATTGTTCCCTCTCTGACCCTCCCCCACATACAGCACCACAACACAGCAAAGTGGGTTCCCCCAGCCTGGTGAATGCCTAAGGCTTGACCCCTTACTATGTAACAGGTGTGCTGAGACAAAGAAATATGGCCCAAATGAAAGAACAGATCAAACCTCCAGAAAAAGAACTAAGTGACAAGGAGATAGACAACCTATCAGATACAGAGTTCAAAACTCTGGTAATCAGGATGCTCACAGAAATGATTGCAGACAGACATAAAATAGAAGAAGAAGTGAAGGCTATGCAAAGTGAAATAAAAGTATACAGGGAACCAACAGAGATGGGAAGGAAACCAGGACTTAAATCAATGATTTGGAACAGAAGGAAGAAGTGAACATTCAACCCGAACAAATGAAGAACGAAGAATTCAAAAAAACGAGGAGAGGCTTAGGAACCTCTGGGACAACTTTAAACATCCAAATCAGGGATGCAAGAAGGAGAAGAGGAAGAGCAAGAAATTTAAAACTTATTTGAAAAAATAATGAAGCAAACCTTCTCCAGTCTGGCAAAGGAAATAGTCTTCCAGGAAGTCCAGGAAGCTCAGAGAGTCCCAAAGAAATTGGACCCAAGAAAGAACACACCAAGACACGTGATAATTGAATTACCCAAGGTTAAAGGTAGGTGAGAATATTAAAAGCAGAAA